CATAGTCTACCTGAGAACAAGATCAAGTTGCGACAACGAGGTAAACCCACTTCTATAAATCGAAAGGAGACTGCGACCATAGCAGAGACCACAACATCTTTGTCTTCATATCTTCAAGTAAATTATATTTTTTGGAAGAATTTAAAAACTGGACTTTGCCCTGCTATCCTTTGACAACTTTTTTTTCTAGATCGGCTATCCCTGTTTGGTTCGGCCAAGTTATGTTCTTTCTGGGTCTGCTATGAATGTAGCCTACTCTGACGACGATCTAATAGATTTCATTAGCCTGGCCCAATCGATCAGTGCTGAACATCCAGTGGTAGTTAGTAAATTTATGCTGGATGCCAAAGAAATAGATGTGGACGCTGTTGCCCAGGCTGGTCGACTAGTGGCTTTTGCTGTCTGTGAGCACATTGAGAATGCTGGAGTACATTCTGGCGACGCCACACTCGTAACCCCGCCTCAGCGCCTTAACCGTGAGACGAAGGGGCGTATCGCTGATATTGTCACCACATTAGCTGATGAGCTACAGGTGAGCTATGGGGAACCATAATATTGCATTAAATAACGAAAGACAGCCGTACTTCCATAATAAACTTTAATTCTTAAATGCTAATTGTTAATTATATTTTGTGGATTTCGCGATTTTAATCAATTTTTTGCCATATTGTATCGGCAATAATATAGCCCTTTAGAAGGAGTCCAACGCTCCCATAAAACTAATATATACTTAGCTACTTGTGTTGAGTGCCGTGCTACCTTGTATGCGGCTTTTTTGTATCATTCTCTAGATAATTTTGGACTACCTATATCATTTGCACCAAGCTTCTGTCTATTTTTTTTAGCAGGTAGATTGGAGCAACTCTTAAATGTTACCTAAAAGTAATTAATGCTATTTATTTTTTATCCCTTTGCTTTGATATAGAGGAGTTAATGAATTAATCAAGAACGTTCTTCTAAAGCATTCTATCAAGTCATTGACTGCAAATCAAAAATACGTTTATTATCATTTTAAGTTCATCCTTCAAAGCTCTAATCAGTGCATATCTTATTTTTCGAGTAATAGGCACATATTCCGGATTTGTCCTTATTTTCCGTGTGCATGAATTTTTATAAGCCCTTATAGTGAACCATTTTCATCGTTGTTCTTTACATTATTGAACTTATTGACACTTAATTAAGTCTTACTTCATTTTATCAAGTGTATTGCAATTTTTTGACTGGGAGTCTAGTATCGGGAAAAATGTTCATTATCGCGTATGAATAAATCTGACACTCACTCAGTAGCTTTATCCTAACTTCCCTTAAACACTGAATAACCCATAAAGTGTATACCGTTTTCGTTTTCATTTACTGATCCATGGGTTCATTATTTTCACAGACATTTTTAAAACAAGCAAAAGTATGTTATGACAAACTTAACTGCCTCTTTTACCCTTCAATGTTTATTGCCTTTTAGGCATCATTAGTTTCTCATAACTCTATTCTATAAGTTAGCAAAGTTACTTCTATCAGTGCTTATTCTAATACATTATTTCCAAATACACAATTTTTGGGAAGCGCTATCGCATTCCGTTTTGGTCAAAATTAGTTAATCCTTTTAACATTCATGTGCCACTTACTTAAACAGCCTATCATATTGCTCTTTAGCCAAGATGCATATCTAGCAACAACATTCTTGCTTGGGAAGTACGGATGATGAATATACCGCAATAAATAGCCACCTAGCTTGTGCTGAAAGCAAAATATATGCTTTTTATGCATAAATTTTCTAGTAAAACTTTGCTAGAGCAAGGATAGTAGGACTGATAAAATATTTCCTGGCCACCTTCACAACCAAGGCTCACTAGAGTTTAAATTATAAGTAAAGTTATATGCTTCTGAGATTACCAGTAAATCAGATATATGAGTTGTTCTCACCCCATTTCGTTTAGGGTGATGAAGAACTGGTATTTGATTTTTTCAACAGTAGAGCAGACGTTTCCATTGAATTTTACATAGCCTTGCTTCCCCAAAAGGTGTTCTCATCCAGGGTGGATTGGAGTTTCGATCTCACATAGGTCTTCTCAACATCCTAAGCTGGAGTCGAACCATGACAGTGCAGCGTGTAAACTTTACACGATGCCAACTACGCCACATTGCCACGAGGGCCCTTGGGTTGCAGGGCAGATGTGAATTTCAAGGAATATCAGGCATTTTCCATTTCATATAGTGTGTTGGGATTGTCGATGAAGCAAACATATATTTGCTATAGCAATTGACGATAATACTTTTTTCGTAGATGAGTATGTTTTCGAGACTACCAGTAAATTAGACATATGAGTTGTTTTCATCCTA